TGGCTTGGTCAGTTAAGCGACTGCCTTCGGCTCAGGTTATGATCCCAGGGTCGAGATCAAGCCCCACATCAGGCTCTGTGCTCAGCTTTGAGTCAGCTTGAGACTCTCTCTCCCTCTGCCCCTCCACCCCACTCACACACTCTCTTGCTCTTTCTCTAAATAATCATTAAAAAAAATTTTTAGAGGCCCTGGGTGGCTCAGTCGTTAAGTGTCTGCCTTAGGCTTGGGTCGTGATCCCGGGGTCCTGAGATCGAGCCCCGCATCGGGCTCCCTGCTCAGTGGAAGGCATGCTTCTCCTTCTCCTACTCCCCCTGCTTATGTTCCCTCTCGCTCGTTCTGTCAAAAAAATAAAATCTTTAAAAAAAATTTTATTTTTTTGAAAAATTAAAAAACCCGGGGCACCTGGGAGGCTCAGTCATTAAGCGTCTGCCTTAGGCTCAGGTCATGATCCCAGGGTCCTGGGATCGAGCCCCACGTCGGGCTCTCTGCTTAGTGGGAAGCCTGCTTCTCCCTCTCCCACTCACCCTGCTTGTGTTCCCTCTCTCGCTGTCTCTCTCTCTGTCAAAAAATAAATAAAATATTTGGAAAAAAAAAAATTAAAAAACCCAAACCTGATTAATTTGGTTCTTGGACTTAAAAATGAAAAAAAAGGATTCCATTCCTAAATATTTGACAGTTAGGTCAAAATTATTTCAAAACTAACCACAGGCTTAAATGGTGATATTCCCTGTAAGTCTTCCCTCTCTTTGCCTTCCTTCAAGTTACATCTTCACTCTCCTTTGGGGGGTGGGGTGGGGGGAGGGGAGAAAATAGCTGCTTCCAAGACCTATCAGTGAACCACCACCCTACCAGTCAACACAACCAGTGCCATACACTCCACTTTTAAAGGACACTCCATTTACTCGAATTAACTAGGAGCCAACTAATATTTGCTGGCCTCATAGGATTAATAAACAAAATAAAATTTAAGAACACAGAAACTTCACAATCTGTGAATTCATGCAGGCATTCATCAAACAAAAAAAGTGTCTTATAACAACACATCTTAAGTCCTCATTTTTAAAAAGGACTGGAAACTTGGGGCACCTGGGTGGCTCAGTGGGTTAAGCATCTGACTCGATTTCAGCTCAGGTCAGGATCTCAGGGTCATGGGATCAAGCCCTGGGTGGGGCTCTGCACTCAGCAGTCTGCTTGTTCCTCTCCCTCTGCATCTCCCTCCCACCTCAGCCCCCTCTCCGCTTGCACACGGTCGAGCTAATAAATACATGAAATCCTTAAAAAAAATAAAATAAAAGGACCGGGGAATCAATACTTCAAGAATAACACTTCCAAAGTAAAGGCTTCACTTCACACCAGTTCAAAATTTCAATACTGGTTTATACTTTCTTCATATAGTGTACAGTTAAAGGAGATAGCAACCAGTTCCCATCAAAACACAGGGGCCTACTGAAATTAACCATTCTTCTCCATGTTCTCCTACCATTTCTCCCTAAACAATAAAAGTCACTCAGGCTAATACCAAGAGACACTGCTGGTGAATACTGCACAGGCTGCATCAGTTACCAGGAAAAGGAAGCGAGGTGTTATTGTTGTTCTAGCCTTGTTCTAAAGGCAGCTCCATGTGACTGCGGCTGGTCCAGCCCACATTTAAAGAGAGAGGCCAGAGGAAACCAGAGCAGCAGGAAACAGGCAGGAGAGGCAATTATCACAACCCTTTCCCATGGCCTCATTTCCATGCCACCACTTCCAGCCATATTTCAATCACAACAAAAAACTCTCCCTTCTCTGAATTTGAGGGTCAGAAGCAACAAGGAAGCAAATAGGGGAAATCAGAGCTGTGGAAAACTAGCAGGACAGAGGTGGGGGAAATCTCATCACACATGTGAACTAGCCTTACGGAGGAAAAATCAGATGGAACATACTGGAGATAAGCAGAAGAGCAGTGTGGGAAACTAGTCACTTCTGCACGGTAAGTGTTCACAGCAAAGGGAGGATGATAGCCCCAGCCAAGGGGCCCCGCAGGTACGTAAGAGATATTGGTGGACTATAAGACTCTATGGTCTCCAGAGAGTGGAAATTACTCCCTTTCCTGAAACAGGTAAGTACCATCACAATCTAGGCACCCAATGCCAAGGATACAGGAGAACTTAGGTATTAGCTTCATCTTCCTTCCACCATTATTAGACAAACTGACACTAAAAATTGGGATGTACAATACATGACAGAAAGTGAGGACTACACTACTGACATAACTCTTGGTTTAAAAAGTATACCATAGGGCGCCTGGGTGGCTCAGTCGTTAAGCGTCTGCCTTCGGCTCAGGTGAGGATCCCAGGGTCCTGGGATCGAGCTCCATATCAGGCTCCCTGCTCAGAGGGAAGCCTGCTTCTCCCTCTCCCACTCCCCCTGCTTGTGTTCCCTCTCTCGCTGTCAAATAAATAAAATTAAAAAAAAAAAAGGAAGTATACCATAAAATTAATTAATTAAAAGTATACCATAATTGAGAAAATATAAAAGGCCTGGGTTCACCCAAAAAGTTAATTATATGCCCTTCGAATAAAAGATGTTTGGATACCTTATAAAGACCTTCAAAAGCTCTCAACTGTTAGGGCACAAAGGGGCTAAAGACAATAAGCCTAACTACTAACAGACCATACACCTCGGACGTAAGTAGAAACCAATACACAACAGAGGTGGTAGTAAGCTAGAAGATTATGTCAAACAGGAAATAACAGAAACGATGACGGGATCAACTCCTAGAGAGAACAAGGACATAAGATCAAAGTGGCGGCACTTGAGATGCCTGGGCAAAAAATGAGATTGAAAACCGAGGCGAAAAGGTGGGAGAGTGATTCAGAAGCAAAGAAAATGGAAATATAATACACTAAAGAAAGAGTAACATAGAACTTTGGTTTACAGGGTGCTCTCAAAACTATATTTTAAAACTCTGATAAAACCAGACTAGAGGAACCGGGACGGAGGAGAAAGAAACTGAGTCCCCAGAGTCTAACACCAAAACCTCCCAGAATGAAAAGGAGTAGAATCTAACTATTCCTTCGGGTAAACCAAGAAAGGCTACAGAGCGCAGAAGTTGGGCTCTCAGATGTCCAGTCCCAAGACTAGCGACAGGCGTGAAAACGGGAAGGTGGTCAGGATGGGGAGCATCAGCGTGGCGCTGGAGCTCCAGCGGACAGACAGGGAGGGACAGAGGTGGGAGAGAAAACCACACCCTCCAGGGCAGAAACCCGAAGGGGGGAGGGGAAGGCGCCCCCTGGGGTTGGGTGGGGCCAGGCCGACTAGGACCGGAGTAGGCAGGAAGAAGCACAGGACGACCCGCAGGGAGAGGAAGGAAGGAGCCCAGGCCTGGGCATACTGAGGACGCCTGAAGCTGGCGAGGGACGCTTGGCCCGGTCTTCATGAGTGGGCGCTGGGGCAGTATGAAGAGGGTTCAAGGAAAGAAGAGCTGAACCCAGGACTAGAAACCGCACGCCGCTACGCTCAGGGCTCTGGAACAGGAAAGGAGAGAGAGGGTGCCAATTACCGCTGCTGTTCTCGCTGGACTCGGGACCAGCTGCCGCCGCCGCCGCCGCTCGTTACCTGCCAATGTGCCTCTTACAAAGCAGCGGCGGCGGCAGAGGCGGCCCGGCCCGTCACGTGACCTCTGCGTCATGAGCGAAGGAGGAGCCACCACGCGACGCTCGCTCGGGGCTCATCAGCCCGCCCACAGAACGCGTCGCTTCCTTCAGCCTCCCACATACCAACTAGGAGAGGCCAACAGCGCCGAGGCGGGGGTAGGCACCGGGAAGGAGCAAATAAGGGAGACCTTATAAAATTTCTCGTACTCAGAGCTGTCAGAAAGGTATACATACCGCATCCAGGATGCCCACAACTGCAGCTTGTCGCGCTATCATGACCTCACAAGGCACCTCGAGTCGCTCCCCTGCGGCCGCCTTCCTCTCATCATGTGATGTGGCCCAACCATTCAAAACAGGCCTGGCTTCCCAAACCTTGCGCGGGGGGTATACTATCGCCAATATGCTGCACAGCAAAGGCACCCAACACTGCAGCCTTTCCCTCGCGGGTTCATAGACCTTGCATTTATGACTTAGTGCCCTGAGGCAAAGCCGAGAGGGAAAACGGACAGCAGAGGCTTCTGAGACTAATACCGGCGGGCGCCGCTTGCCAGGTGGCTTAGCGTGGTTCCTGCTGGGAGATGTAGTCCCGGCGGGGGGGGGGGGTCCGCTAACACGATCCCGGGCTCGCGCTCCGCTCCGCCCTCTGCGCGGGAAAACGCCAACGGCTAGCCGAAGTGCCCCGGCGTGGAGCCGGCTTCAATAAGGAAGTTACCCAGGGCAAAAGGGCCTCGGGGCTTCTGGCTTGTTAAATGTGGGCGTTGAATTCTTTTACCAAGCCCCTTATGCATGAGTTGATTAACATTTATTGACTGTTTACTTAATGTCAATACAGCAATTTTTACTAAATCTTATAATCAACCCATCGAAGCAGGGATTGCTCCCTGTAAAGAAAGGCTTAGAGGGGCACCTGGCTGGCTCAATCGGTAGGGTATGCTACTCTGGATCTTGGGGTTGTGAATTCGAGTTCCACCTTCAGTGTAGAAATTACTTACAATATAAAATCTTTTTTTTTAAGATTGTATTTATTTGACAGAGAGAGAAAGAACACAAGTGGGCAGAGCAGCAGGCAGAGGGAGAAGCAGACTCCCCGCCAAGCGGAGAGGCCGACGTGGGGCTCGATCCCAGGACCCTGGGACCATGACCTGAGCCGAAGGCAGCCGCATAACCGACTGAGCCACCCAGGCGCCCCTTAAAATATAAAATCTTAAAAAAAATAAAAAAAAGGAAGCCTTAGGTTCCGTTGTTTCTACCTGAAGAGAGCAAAACCAGATTTTGTCTCCAATGAATAACCCTCCTCTCAAAGATTTGTTTAACTCCAGGAATTAAGCATAATTGAGGCGATAATGCTTTATACTTGTAGCATGGTATTTTGGAGTTAATTTTTTTAAGATTTTATTTATTAGAGCGAGAGAGAGCAGGAGCAGGGGGGGAGGGTCAGAGGGCGAGGGAGAAGCTGACTTTCCGGTGAACAGAGTGTGGGGCTCCATCCCAGGACCCTGAAATCATGACCTGAGGAGAGGCAGACGCTTAACCAACTGAGCCACCCAGACACCCCAGTATTTTGGAGTTTAAAGTATTTTCCCATTTACTGACCTATTTGATTCTCAAAGGCAGTATCCCAGGCTGGTTAGGTACACGGACTTTGGAATACAGCAGGCCTTGCCTCAACTTGAGCTTCCCTCCTTTGCAATGACACCACTTCACCAGGTTGTGAAAATTAAATGAGATCAGGTAGGGGCACCTGGGTGGCTCAGCTGTTTAAGCATCTGCCTTCGGCTCAGGTCATCATTCCAGGGTCCTGGGATCAAGCCCCACATTGGGCTCCCTGTTCAGCGGGGAACCTGCTTCTCCCTCTCTCTCTACCTGCCGCTCTGCCTGCTTGTGCTCTCTCTCTCTTTCTCTCTCAAATAAATAAATGAAATATTTTAAATAAAGAAAGAAATAAAATGAGGTCATGTAAAGTCCCTGTTTGGCACCTAGTTAAACCCTCAATAAACAATTATTTTCACACCTGGTATGTACCCTTTGGGCACAGCAGATACAAAAGGTGCGAAGGGAATTAACATACACTGATCTTTGTGCAGGGCACTATACTAATTACTAGCTAACACCCTAGTTACTAATAGACTGTTGTAGTTAAATTACTTGATGAATAACAATCAGAACCTTAACAGTTCTGCTCAGTTCAAGGGAAGCCTTTGTTATAAATCTGAATTGATCAAAGAATGCTCAGGCTGAAACAAAAATTATCATGACCATTCATGTGTAGATGTATCTTATCTCTCCCTTTTGACAGTGAGCTGGAATTGTGCCTGGTCAGTTCAGTCTTCCTCCTCTTTGTATTCCTGCTTTATAGAAATGTGTGGGAGAGTCAAAAATAAAACCACCCTTGAGAGGCAAAGACTTTTTTTTTTCAAAGATTTTATTTATTTATTTGACAGAGAGAGAGACACAGCGAAAGAGGGAACACAAGCAGGGGGAGTGGGAGAGGGAGAAGCAGGCTTCCCACAGAGCAGGGAGCCCGATGCGGGGCTCGATCCCAGGACCCTGGGACCATGACCTGAGCCGAAGGCAGACACTTAACGACTGAGCCACCCAGGTGCCCCAAGAGAGGCAAAGACTTTTAATGGAAAGTGTACAAGAAAACAATTCTGAAAACAACCTGATAACAGGAGCTGTCTCTGTAGAATGGGAAGGAGGGTTTGAGGGTGCTAGTCAAAAGGGACTTATCGGGGTGCCTGGGTGGCTCAGTCGTTAAGCGTCTGCCTTGGGCCCAGGTCATGATCCCAGAGTCCTGGAATCGAGCCCCGCATTGGGCTCCCTGCTCTGCGGGAAGCCTGCTTCTCCCTCTCCCCTCCCCCTGCTTGTGTTCCCTCTCTCGCTGTCAAATAAATAAATAAAATCTTAAAAAAAAAAAAGGGACTTATCTAATCTATATTTTTACATGAAGAAGGTACTGGTCTTTTAATTAAAGATAAACATCAAGAAAAGAGAGACCGGGGTGCCTGGCTGGCTTAGTTAGAAGAGCATGTGACTCTTGATCTCAGTGTTGTGAGATGGAGCCCCAGGTTGGGTGCAGATTTTCCTAAAAAATAAATACATAAACTTAAAAAAAAAAAGAGGGGCGCCTGGGTGACCCAGTCAGCTGAGTGTCTACCTTCGGCTCAGGTCGTGGTCAGCGAGGAGCCTGCTTCCCCTCTGCCTGCCATTCCCCCTGCTTATGCTCTCTCTCAAATAAATATTAAAAAAAGAGACCATGTGTTAGTTCTGTGACTTGTACAAAGATACATCACCTTTCCAGTCCCTCAATTTCCGCTTCTGTTATATTCAAAAACATCTGTCTTTTCTGTACCAGGCATACTATGCTGGATACTTCCGATAAATTACCATTTATCAAGGGAGAAGTCCCACCTCAGAGCTAGGATCAGAGAGAAAAATAAGGGCATCAAAGTCCTAAAACCTCACTGATAATAGTTATTACCACCTGGATGTAATAGAACTATCCTCTCACAATAGGCTCCCCTAGAGGATATCACTACCACCCATTCCCACCCAGCCTGATTGATACATTGACTCTGAAACTTATTTCACATCGTGTGACTGCAAAGAACATCACCATCCAATTCACCAGTTTTTGTTTAAGTACACTTGGCTGGACTACAGTGAGAGCATAATGTGATGGAAAATACACTGGAGAAATTCTCAGAAGCCTGGGTTTTTAAGTCTGTAAACATGGCAGGCAATAAAGAAGGTGGGTGAAACCAGATGTAACCCATCTCAGAAAGAATCAGTAATGGGTAGCTGAGACTTAGGAAGATAAAATCAAAATGTATAAACTCCAAAGCAGAATTTTCACAATCTAGATAAAGCTAATCACTGATTAAGTTCAAGTCTAATCTCCTGACTTACAGTAAGTGATCATAATCCAATGCATTATACCCTGCAGAAGAATGTGGTAACTGAGTGGGAATGGTCTGTATAGAATCTATTAAAAAAAAAAAGCCTTAAGAAGCAAAAATGTACACAATGCAGGGAAAAGGGTAGCCTGACTAACCAGTACATAGAACATTTTGTTCCCTTTGGCAGGTCTCTCTCTTTAGCAGATAGAGATGAATGATCCATGCTTATTAACCATAAAAATCACCCAAGATTCCCCTACCCATGTTCCATGTCAGGAGCAACCTGCTAATGAGAATTGGGCTTCTTGGGGCGCCCAGCTGACTCAGTTGGTGGAGCTTAAGACTCTTGATCTCAGGGTTGTGAGTTCAAGCCCCACAATGGACATAGAGCTTACTTAAAAATAATAATAATAAAAATAAACAAGGGGCACCTGGCTGGCACAGTCAATTAAGCGTCTGTCTCTTGGTTTCAGCTCATGTCATGATCTCAGGGTTGAGAGAGAAGAACCCCATGTCAGGCTCCTTGATCAGCCAGGAGTCTGCTGGAGACGATCCCTCTCCCTCTGCCCCTCGCCCCATCTCTCTCTCTCTCCCTCTCTCTCTCTCTCTCTCTCAAGTAAATAAATCTTTAAAGTAGTGAAATTCTGCTTACTTTATATGGCATTGCCAGGTTGATGCAAGACACTGCCTATGAAAGTCCTCAGAAAATAACTGGACTATAAGAATCGTAAGGAATTATTATTACCATGAAGAACATTATTTGATTTCATCAATACTTATATAACCCTGGTCAGTGGTTGAGGTTTGGGTTCTTCCCAAATCCAGGCCTTCCTGGATTCCTGGATTGTAGAACAAGGGTCAGCAAACTATAACTCATAGGCCAAATCCAGCCCATCTCCTGTTTTTCTACAACCCACTAGCTAAAAATTATTAGCCATTTTTTCTTTTTTTTTTTAAGTAAGCTCTATACCTAATGTGGGGCTTGAACTCACAAACCTGAGATCAAGAGCCCCATGCTCTATTGACTAAGCCAGGCAGATGCCCCAAAGTCTAATTTTGTTGCTGTTGTTTTGTTTTAGGTGGGGGAGGAGCAGAAGGAGAAGGAGAGAGAGAGAATCTTAAGCAAGCTCCACACCTAGCATGGAGCCTGATACAGAGATCATAACCTGAGCCAAAATCAAGAGCCTGACACTTAACCAACTGAGCAACCCAGGTTCCCCTTGTTTTGTCTTAAAGTAAATGCTACACTCAATGTGGGGCTGGAACTCATGATCCCAAGATCAAGAGTCACAAGTTGGGCGTGCTTGGGTGGCTCAGCTGGTTAAGCAGCTGCCTTCGGCTCAGGTCATGATCCCGGGGTCCTGGGATCGAGCCCCGCATTTGGGCTCCCTGCTCACTGGGGAGCCTGCTTCTGCCCCTCCCCCCTGCTCATGCTCTCTCTCTCTTAAATAAATAAAATCAAAAAAAAAAGTTGCATGTTCCCCCGACTGAGCCAGCCATGTGCCCCTTGTTAGTCATTTTTAAATGGCCCAAAAAAATCAAAAGAAGAATATTTCATGGCACACAAAACCAAAATTCAAATTTTAGTCTAGTAAGTTCCACTGTAACTCAGCCATGATTATGCATTTATGTATTGTCT